TGCTGTGTCCCTAGTGCACCATGAGGCAGGGAAACCTGCTGAGCCTTCCTGACACAAACACAGCCCTGCCCCTGGGGGGCCCAGAAATCAGGGAACTTCCCTGTCTCCCTGCTGGGATCCCTCAGTTCAGGAGGGCTGTGTGCCCCGCAGGTGCATGACCCCTCCGTTGACACTTGGGGTTCTCTAGCACCTGTCCTGCATCTTTTCGGGTGAACGGGAACTGTTTGGAGCGCCGTGTTCTGAGGTAACGGACACCCACAGTGCTAATCGTCAGGATTACCTGCTGGCTGGCAGGTCACCAGCAGCCCCTTCCTGAGGGCGCACCCTGAATGCGGTCACTCCTCATCCTGACGGAGGGCTTGCTGGGCGACCTCTGTGAATTCCCATGTTTACTGTGACCAGTTCAGTCAGTCTATGAAGTCAGGTCCCGCTGGGTGCTGCAGGTCCAGTAGGAGCCCTTCCCGAGCCCGGGGCCTTACATTCCCATGGAGGAAACAGGCGGGAATCTGTAACGTAAGGATGGGCTCAGCACGCAGCCAGAGCAGTGTCAAAGAGGGACACGGYTGGTACTAGAGCCCGCTGGCTCCCAGCAGGTCCTGTGGACCAGAGAGCAGCAGGGAGTCCCCATGACCCGTCCCAAGAAACCCTGGAGGAAGGTCCTGAAGACTTGTGAGTGGCAGCAGGTAGCCATTTCCCGTCCCCTAAGCCAGCAGCAGTCAGAGAAATCCAGGGAAGGCATCTGTCCTTTCCGGCTCCCTCTCGAGCAGCAGAAGATGGTGGTGGCATTGGGTGAAGGAGGACACAGGCTTGGGAAGCCGTCACTCCACACCAGTTACGGCCGGGGAGCTCTGAACTCTGGCCACCCCAGACTCCAGGTCTGACCGGAAGAGCTGGTGTCAAAGACACACCACCACTGCCGCACTGTGTCCCCTCTTCCTCACAACCAGGGACCAGACCTGGCCTGCATGCATGGGTCCCAAGCCATGTGTGCAGTCAGAGGAGCCCCACCTAGCCGGCCCCCTAAGCCAGGGCTAGAGTGCTGTAATGCTGGAGCTCACCCCAGATGAAACAGTCCTGGAGGCAGGGGGGACAGAGAGACTACAAAGGTGGACAGCCAGTGGCCTGGGGCAGTGATTAGGGTGCCCTATGGAGCTGAGGATGTCACCAGGTCCTTGAGGGCGAGTGAGGGCTGTCTGCCCTGGGCATCCACTGGCACGTCATAAGGAAAAGGGTAGCAAAGTTCAGATTGGTCCATCAGGTGCCAGGACACCAAACAGAGAGAGAGCTTGGGGTCAACTGTCAGGGTCCATGTAGCTTCAGAGAATGGTGCTGAGCAGGGAGACAGACCAGAGCTCCGCCCACTAGGCTGGGGGGAGGGGAGAGCAGCAGCCTTGGGGGCATCCTCAGGCTCATTTTCCCAACAAAACACTATTGAACCTCCACTTTATTTCAGGCTTTGTGCTAATCCCAAGAGGCCCATCAGGAGGAAAACAAACTGACTCCTGCTCTCCTGGAGTCAGACGGCAGAGGGGCCAGAGACTTAGCAACAACTTGTACATACAAATTCCATTGTGCTCAGGCCAACAGAGTAGTGCGGGGGGTGGTGGGACCACGTAATTGGGAGAAAATCTGCATTAATGGGAGATGGAGCCAGGTACATGCATGCTCGACTCTGTCCTTCCTGAGAGTCAGAGGCACAGAGTGGAGGCTTCTGGGAGTCAGGAACAGGACCCTTCTCCAGTTACTACAGCTGGCATAAAAAAATACCCGGGTGGGGTGGTGGCTCAGTGGTAGAGCACTTGCCTAGCATCTGTRAGGCACTGGGTTCGATCCTCAGCACCACATATAAATAAATAAAATAAAGGTCCATCAACAACTTAAAAATTTTTTTTTTTTTTTTAGTCTGCAAACCTCCTAGCTTAGAATGGGAGAATTATTTTTTTCTCTCTCACGGTTCCGGAGGCCAGACATCAGGAATCAAGGTATCAACAGATTCTGTTCCCTTCAGAGGCTTTGGGGGAGAGGCCACCATTCTCCCATCTTCTGGTGGTTCCCACAGCCCTTGGGGTTCTTGGCTGTGTCTGCATTATCGCAGCCTCTGCCTCGTTGTCATTTCTCCGTGTGTATCCATGTGTTCTCTCTTCTTAGAAGGACCCCAGTCATTGGGTTGGGGACCCACCCTAGTTCAGGTGGGTAATTAATTTCATCACAATTAAGTAATTGATATGGTTACAATCATCGGCACAGACCTTATTCCACATAAGGGCAACTTCTTAGGGACTGGCAGTTAGGATTTGGAGGCGACTGGGATCAAATTCAACTCACTGCACGTGGCTTGTATGTTAGAGTTGGGCTTTGAGGTCACCGTGAATGGAGTCCAGGTACTGGCTTTGCCACTCACTCACTTTGAACCTGATTGAGCGTGATCGGGCCACCTTATCCTCATTTGGAATGCAGTAATGACGCCTCCTGCCTCTCGGGGCTACTGGGAGGCTGCAGGAGGCAACGTCCACAGCATACTTAGCAATCGTCAGCAGGTAAGAAGCACCCATTGCGATAGCGGTTCTTACCATTTTAACTGTAAGAGGGCCGCCAGATGCCCTGGGGAAACCCAACCAAGAGGCACAGCATAGAGATAAGTGGACAGATGCCAATGGGACACTAGACACAGAGAGCAAGCTGGTGTTCAGGCTGTAGACGCCGGGAAGGACCCCGGTCCCAAGAGAAGGCCCATCAGTGACAAGTTGCCAGAACTGGGACCACAGTCCCAACCCCATTCTTAGAATCTGGTAGGAGGTGGCCCAGGTTCCATCCTGGAGTGCAAGCCTAGGGTCCAGCCAGCAGCCAGGATGGTTGAATACTAAGGACCAGAATGTGGAGCCCGAGGGGGCTGGGGTCGTGGCTCAGTCGTAGAGCGCTTGCCTAGCGCATGTGAGGCCCTGGGTTCGATCCTTGGCACTACGTAAATAAGTAAATAAAGGTATTGTGTCCATCTACAGCTGGTTAGCTAAGTCCTGCTTCTAGCTTTGGAAGCTGGGGCTGTGGTGGAGTGCATGAGGCCAGGGGCTCCGTGGGAAGCTGGAGGAACACAAAAGGGGCCTGAGCCAGGTGCAGCCCAAGCAGATTCTAGATAAGTGGAAAGCTGTTTGCAAGGATGAAAGAATGTCCCGGGAAGGCCACCCTTCCTGCTCCAGAGGGTTAGGAACTGTATAGAAAGGTCCTTGACGAGGCCCGCGGCACCAACCCTGGTCTAAGACCAGTGAAGATGTGCACAAAAAGGTCAGAGGTTTGGCTCTGTAAATAGGAGAGTGAAGACCAAGGAGCTTTTCCAAGTCTCGGTTTCCCTCTACAAAAAAAAAAAAAAAAAGAAAAAGAAAGTTGGGGGTTGGAGCGGATGTTCTGGAAGGTCCTCGTCCAGCTCTGACAGCCTATGATTTTATGAATCATCCTCGAAGAGAACTCGCACAAGTGGGAAGAGTCTGCCAAGACTGGGCCTTTCATTCTGAGTAATGAACTGAAACAGCAAAGGGTTGACATCTGTTCCCATCTTTCAAGGGAAGTTGGACAAAATAATGCCTTTTTCAGGGAAATCGTTACCAACAGTGAAACAGAGTATTTCCTGCCTAACCCAAAAATGAAGTGGAGAAGCCAGCCTTCCTGAAGCCCAAGGGAGAACACGTCTAATCTCCCAGTGAAGGTCATGCCGGCCAATTATCTTGGTATGTAGGCACCGAATGCCACGCACGCGCCTGCCTCCCAGCCTGTTAGAGCGAGACAGCAGGAAAATAATGGCAGGAAGATTCCAAAGGCCCTGAGAGAGTCTGAGGAAAGGAAGAGGGCCCTGTCACCAGCCTCTGGAACATTCTGGTGGGATAAGCATTGGCTGCAAACACCTTGATCTCATGCAACTTGCTTTCAAGCCCAGGGAAGATGCTCAAGACTGAGGGGGGTTGGGGAATGGAGAAAGAAAGCGCTGGATCAGCCATAGCCTCTGCAGCACTTGTCTCAGCAGGTGAGACACGGGGCCCCTGGCTGCGCACACTGCCCTGCGTGCCGAGTGGCTTTGGGTCTCACCATGCTACTTCACGGGAGTTTAGAGTTGGAGGCTGCCAGGAAGGGTTTCCGGAAGAGGCACCATGCACCAGGGAAAAGAGGAGAGGGTGAGACTTAGAGGCAGAGAGGGGCATCCTCAACAGGGCAGCAAGGTGGGCCAAGCCCCGAGGAGTACAGGAAACAGAAGGTGGCTTAATGGGGCCTGGCTTAGGAGGCCACAGTGGAGTGAGGCTGGAATAAGGGATGGGGAGGAGGGAGTTCAGATTTATAATCAGGAAAAGCTCAAAGAAATAGAACTTTATTTTTTCCTCCCTCTAAAATTTTGGGATAAAACTTATTAACATGTGAGCATCCCTAGACCTCCCCATTCCTGCCGTCTCCCTCCACACCACCTAATTGGGAACCAGGCCCTGACTTGCCTCTTCAGTTTCTTGCTCACTTTACCCTCCAAGAAGGGTATTGTCTTTGCCCAACTGACTTTGGGGAGGGTTTTAGGATCTCTAGACCATCCGGCATGGGGCAAAGCAGCCCCGAGGAGGGTGGGAAGGGAAAGCAGATTTAAATATGAGTCGTTGTGTCCTCTTTGAGATATTTGAAAGACGTGGATAGAACATGAGCTATTTTTAAATATTTGTAGGTTGCTGAACTGTATTTGTTTGACAAAGCTTCTTGAGAAGGCACCACACGGTCACACTTTAACAGGATTCCATTCTCTGCCTCTTTACGTCACTTTCCTCTTCTCAAAGCCATGAACTCTTGAAGGACAAAGGTTAAGTTGAACTCATCCTTGTCCCTTTCAGAAGGAAGGCTAGTAGTTGCTGAACCGGGAGAGTGGAGCTCTCAGACTGGGCTCAGACAACCTCACTCCCTCCTCGGTCCTCCTCAAGAAGGGGGGCTCTGTCACCTGCTAATCTGAGACTTTGCTCCTTGTCTGTCTGTCATTGCAGAAGGCAGACCTGGCCGTGGCTCCCCTGACCATCACGCATGTCCGTGAGAAGGCCATCGACTTCTCCAAGCCCTTCATGACGCTCGGAGTGAGCATCCTGTATCGCAAGCCCAACGGCACCAACCCCAGCGTGTTCTCCTTCCTCAACCCCCTGTCCCCGGACATCTGGATGTATGTGCTCCTCGCCTACCTGGGTGTCAGCTGCGTCCTCTTCGTCATTGCCAGGTAAGGTAATGCCTGGGCCAGAACTCAGGCCCAAGCTTGAAGGTTTGGGAGCCAGGAGTGGCCTCACCTCCTCAGCCCCTGGCACAGGAAGCCAAGGCTCAGGCCACTACCGTTGCTGCTGCTCTCTCCCAACATGTGGCCCAGATCCTCCTGAGCCTTCTTTGAAAGCCATCCCCCCGCTTAGGGAACATTCTATCCCCTTCTCCAAGCTTGAATCACCTGATCCTTCCCTGGTTTGTTTTGGGGACTCTGAGATGCAGCGTTTGCACCCCAGGTCCCAGAACCAGACTTGGAGAGGTTAAATCATTTTGCCCAAAGCTGAAACCCCTGGGCCAGGCACCTGGTACAGCACACGCAGTGGGTGGCTTAAACGTGGCGCACACACCCCTGCCTGGCTGGGATACGTGCTGGAAGCATGTCTGCACATTCGGTCAGTCACGTGAAACAGACACAGCGCTCTTGGCTGGTGGATGGTAGAAGGCTGCTAGGGAACAGGGTTAGCCCAGCCCTTTGGGAGCTCCTGGTATCTGCAGACCACGGTGCTGTGCACCCTGTAGCCATCACCATATTTAACTCTCAAAGCCTCCCTCGAAGAGGAGACCACTAAAGCCCAGAAAGATCATACAAGCAGTAAGTGGCACATCTGGCACTTGAACCTGAGTCACCAAGGGTTTAAACTGCCTTGCACACCCCTGGCCACTGCTCTGACCCTACCCCAGGCCGGTGGCTGTGTGACCCAGCCCTTCCACTCCCTCCCAAAAGGGCCCTCTGCCTCCTCCCTCCAGGGCCCAGCTCTGGCCCCTGCCCTGGTTCTTTTTCTCTCTCAATCCTAACAAGGGGTGAAGAGAGACTTCTCTGGAAAGGCAATTGGAGATCCAAGGCCTGGGTGTTTCAGCCTTTTTCCCTCCGGAGCCTTCTTTGAAAGCCATCCCCCCACTCGGCTCCGTGCGCTCCCTCCTCCCGCACAGGGAGAGACCAAAGGGAAGGATTTGAGAGATGAAACCGTCCTGCCGCCCAAGCTTTGCTGCCAGCCGGCCTGGTGCTGCCCTGCCCGGTCACCCAGCCAGCAGCCACCAGAGGCCTTCATTACACCTCTTGTCTCTCACGCTCTAACGGGCCTTTGAGGGCTAGGAGCCGCTCACGGCGCACTCGCCATAATTTTAGCAGCTCCAGTGGCCTCTCCCCGGCCCACCACCCTTTTTTCCAGCTTCAGTTCTGCCCATTTGGCGCATCTCCCCTCCCCCTCCAGTCCCTGGCCTCTTCCCAGGCTCTCCCTCCTGGCGGGAAGGCAGAGGCCCCTTCCCAAGGCTGGTCTGGGAGACTTTGGGGAAGAGACAGGACTTCTAGAGCCACTGGAATAATAGGGGTCCTCTCCAGAGAGAGGAGAGGGATGAACATCTTGGCCCAAGGGAGCCTCATAGGGCAGTTGTCACCTTAGGACTCTCCGCGACTCGTCAAATCCTGACAACAGTCCTTGAGGTGGGTGTGATTATCCCCCCTTTACAGAAGCAGAAACTGTGGCCCAGAGAGGTCAGGTCATTGCCTGGAGTCTCGGAGCTTTTCCTTGGCAGAGTTGGGCCAGACCTGTCCAACATTAAATCCAACACAGGAGCTAGACGGGGACAGACAGGTGACATAAGGAAGAGAAGCAAGCCAACTGGCCGGCAGCAGGAGTGATCGGGATGGAAGCAAACTGAGCATGCCCAGCTGGCTAAGGGGGCGGCCGCCACCCTGCACCAACAGACCTGTCTCTCTGCTAGACAGAGACCTAGGGCCCATGTCACAGCACTTATGATTTGCACAGCAAGAGTCAGATTTTTATGTGACCTCTCAGGGTTTCTCTGTGTGGCCATTAATTTGGTTTTTATAACACTGTTGGGGTCCAGCACAAAGACATCTGCGCTGTGGATGAAGCTGTCTCTCCCCACAACTCGAGTGACTCCATGCTGCTGCTACAGGTCTGGACACAGCCCATGTCCCCAAAAGATGGAGTCTGCTGTGAGTGGGCAGGTCCTAGGCCCACTCGGGGGCAGCTTGGGCATGGCACTGGGCTGTCCATCCTGCAGACTGGCCTGACCCAGCCTGACCTAAGCCTGTCTAGCACCAAGGAACCAGGCACTGAGGGGTCCAGGCATTGAGTGGTCCAGGCATTGAGGGGTCAAGGCTTTTTCTTATAGTCTGCTTGGTGCCTGGTGAGGTAGGAGGACACAGGAGAGGAGTGAGGCCACTTTCTCACCACTGAGAGAACAGTGGGCACTTGTGGCAGGGAGTTAATCCTTGGTGTCTGGCCCAGGAGGCGGGTCTCAGGCTGAACTGCCAGTCCAGCCCTGGGAGCCACTTTCTGGCCAAATCCTGCACAGATGAGTATCCCAGGGAAAAGAGGGTCGTGGCCACAGTTGGTGTCCTGTCAACACCTCTGCAGCTGGAGTGTGGCTAACTCCCTGAGTGGAATCAGTGTCTCCAGGTCCCTGCTTCTATTCCCATTTGCTCCCACGATTGCAGAACCCCCCCCCACAGCCTCCAGCCCTAAATCCAAGGTCCCCCCTTAACTTGGCGTGGTAGCTTCCCACCTTGTCCAGAGGCCATCGTCCCCTCCTCATCTCTCCTGAAGAATCTGGATCCTCCCACCCACTGCCTGCAGTCCACCTGGCACCTGGGCGGGGAACCCTCCTGCGGTGGTGGAGACCCAGCCTGTGACGACACTTGATAACCGAGGGTCCCTTTTCCAGGGCCAGTTCCTTTCATTATGATAAGCAATTCCACCTCCAGGGATCTGAAACCACACTTCAGAACCTAGGAAGCCTTTCACAGCCACGTCCCAGGGGACYAGGCCACCCTTCAGCCTTGTTGTCAATGGAGGTGGGCCCAAGGATGTTGCTTTCAGCAGAGTCTACAAGAGTGGGAAACAGGGACTCAAGTGCCCGCCACAGAGGCAGGGCGGAAACACCCAGGAAGTGGTCACCGAGCATGAGGTAGATCCAGAGGAACTGGCCTGAGAGAGGTTGGTGACTCTCAGATTTAAAAACAAAGAAAAGAAAAAGGAAAACCAAGTTCTAGGACAGGATACTGGTATGACAGTCTTTTTTGTTGTTAAAAATTGTGTGTGTGTGTGTGTGTGTGTGTGTGTGTGTGTAACTGGAGCATGGGAACACTAGGAACCATGAGCTTCTCCCAGAAGTCCCCTTCTTTGTCCCCAGCCCTCCTTCCACTGGGTTCAGAGGCTCAGGTTTTCTCCATCCCGTGAAAACTGTCAGGACCGTGGCTTTTTGGCTCACCGACAGATCACAGAAAGTCTAGGTGCCACTCTCGACCGTGAATTCACTGTTTCAATCCAGAAATGAAAAGCTCGTCCAGCGTCCCCCCACCCAGGATTTCTGTCTTCACTCACTCACGGGGGCCTTCTCCAGCCCCAGTGACCCCCTTGGCAGTGCCTCCTCCAGCAGCCCGTCCCACACCCAGCCTCTGGCCCTCGAGCAGCCCCTGTCCTGGGTCCTCCACTTGTTGACGTCTGCTGGCTTTCTGGGAGGCAGCCATGGTGGGCCTGGCCGGGTCTCTCTTCTGCGTGGACTCAGTGGTGAAGCTCTGTGCACCCATGGTCCTTGGGCTTGGTGGACTCTGGGCTCACAGCAGGGACCCTCCTGCTTCCATCTGCCCTCCAGCATCCTAGGAAAGCCCTCTCCCGAGACTCTGGACACCCAGCTCTCGGGGGCTGTCTCCAAGGTGCTCCTCACACGGCCCCTCACCCCTGCTCTCCTGATCCCCCATCTCTGCCCTGTGATTTTAGACCCTTTCACTAGTTCTTGGTCAGTTCCTTTGAAAATTCTCAACTTGGCATGAAGCCTTACTGGGGAATTTCCCGTCCGAGGGGCCTTCTGCTTCATGAGAACATAATTTATCTCACACGAGCATTCATGATGTCCGGACTCTTGGAAAAGGGACGTGGAAAAGGGACCCCACCACATCACATTTAAGGGCCATCACACCAGAAAACATAACAAAATTGATGGGACCCCGTCTCTCCTTCCACACCTCTCATCCCAGCCAGGGAGCCCTCCGTGGTCTCAGTCATTCAGCATCTTTGAACTTACGTATTGCCACCTGGAATTCACGMAGTCAGCCAGGATTCCCTCCAGGGATCCCGGGCCCTGCCCCTTGGAAGGCAGTGGGCAGCTTCTCACAACAATTCTTTCCCTGTCGTTTATATATTTGTATATTCAAAGAGAAAAATATGAAAAATTATAGACCCCATTCTTCTCTCCAGGGGGCAGGCTGCCGGGAACTTTCTCATTGTGTTCTTCTAAACCATTTGAATATTTCATACAGTGTCTTTTACTTTCTTTCCATTTTTTAATTATATACGAAATTCAAAAGCCTCTTCTCGTTTTAAAAAATTCATGTGATACATATAAAGCAACAGGCCTCCTCAAGTGCGTTCTGCCATTCTGACTCCCCTCCCCAGAGAGGTGCACCGACATTCTTTACATATGGAACCTTCTAGACCCTTTTATATGCATTTCACATACAAATATACATAAAAGAGCCGTAGAGTCATGAATTCCGGAATCTATATAATGAGATCGCACGGTTCTTATTTTCTATCACTTTCTCTCAGCCAAATGTGTGTTGCCGATCTCTCCCTGTTGGCTCACCTAGGAGTCTCTGGTTCTCTCTAACAGCTGCATGCTATGTCACAGCGTGGCTGTGACGGGGTTTATCAGTCGCTCCTCTGGTGAAGGACATTGAGGTGGTTTGCAGTTGTTCACTGTTACAAACTCCGCTTTGATAAACACCCTCCCGTGTTTTGCTTTATGTTCGTGTGTGTTTTTTTCTAGGGTGGATAATGAGTTGCAGAATTGCCAGGTTGAAGGGCACATGCATTTTAATTTTAAGAAGTGCTGCTGAATTACTTTTATAACCAGAAAAGGGCGCCTGCGGTAAAGGACAAGAGGGACGGTGGTGCCAGCTGCCCCTTGCCTGCCTCCGGGGCGGAACAATAAGCCACCCACTTCCACATTGGGGACGCTGCCATCTTGGTAGCGTGAGCGCACTTCCCTCTATCTCCCCGCAGCCCCGCCTCACTGCCACTCTCTTCCCTGGTAGGTTTAGTCCCTATGAGTGGTACGATGCCCACCCCTGCAACCCGGGCTCCGAGGTGGTGGAGAACAACTTCACTCTGCTCAACAGCTTCTGGTTTGGAATGGGCTCCCTCATGCAGCAAGGTGAGTGCCGTCTTCTCTCCCAGGGGGTCCCATGGCCTCTGTGGAGTCAGCGGAGCCAGCCCACCCTCAAGGGCAGCCTCAGTCCCTGCTGAGCCATCAGAAGGTTGGAGACCCCTGTGGATACTTTGAGGTGTGCCCCCCTCCTTCACCCACTCCTCAGAGTGCTCTAGCTGGAGGATCTGAGCAGATAAACCATGCCAACCATTGGCATGCGGGACTCAGCCCCAGCACCTTTAGCGGCATGAGTTGGACATGAGCACCGTGCTTGCTGGGTTGGCCCCCAGTGACCTCCCCACCACAGAATCCAGCTAAGCAAAACTGAGCTGTGGATGGGGGCGGGGGCACTAGAGGCAGGGAGGCTGGGTGGAGGCCCTTGCAGGAACAAGATGAGACCTGAACTGGGGTCAAGGCCAGGAGGGTGGAAGGCAGAGATGGACTGAGAAGACTTTAGGGGGCAGGTGGTCAGGACTCTGGGGTCATCTGGCTCTGGGACACCTGGGAGCAGGAGAGATCAGCTGAGGAGGGACTTCCACCCAGATATACCAGAGGTGGGATCCACAGGATGATGGGATTCTCTTATGTCCGCCAAAGGGAGGGCCAATGTGCTGCTCCTGACCTGTGGGCAGGGGGGCCCTTTGGGAGTATCCGCAGCTGTTTAAATGGCTAGGAAGCAGAGAACCTGCTCTCGATGTAAGGAGTGAGATGCAGAGACATCACGGGGCTTGAAGACAGGCACAGAGGGAGGCCAGCCAGGAAAGAGCCCAGGGGAACTGCCCGGGCCAGCCCGCTGGCCAGGAGCCCTGAGCCTCTGCCTGTGACTATGGAGTTGCCTGCTAGGGCTGAGGGTGGGGAGCAGCCCAGTCTCTGCTGTGTTAAGTCCCCCTGGGGGACCTAACTAGGGCCGGGAATGAGGGGGCTCCAAGGAACAAAGAAAATTTCCTTGTCCTTCACTCTTCTGGGTGTGACCTCAAAGTCCAGCACAAACTCCCATCCTCAGGAGACAGCTATCAGCAAATGCTAAATGAACAAATGAATCAAAGGTCCTCTCCGCCCTATGCTGGGTAGTTGCATGAAAGAAAAGAGAGAAAAATACATCAGTCCCAGGGAGACCTTTCAGTCCTGCAGGGGCCAGGRCAGGGGCTTGTGCCTGGGCGGGGGTCCAAGCTGCCTGCAGGAGCTCCCCAAGCAAACAACCAAAAGAAGCCATTCTCCCTTTGGGGGCACAGCCGAAGCCCCAGCATGGAGCAACCTGGGGGAGGCTGGGAGTATCTGCCTGGGGAGGGGAGGCTCCAGTAGCTGAGAAGTGACAGCTTTCAAGGGAAGTGCTTCAATTTGTCCCCACCATTAACAAGTGTCCCCGAAGCCTCACCTTGCTTCTTTGCCATCATCTTTGTTCGGTGACAGCTGGGAAAGACCTGGAAGCTCCTCATTGCAGTAATAACTTCTCCTCTTCTGCCTCCTGCTGCTATTCAAAGCTCTGGCCCCCCGATGCATTCCCTGCATGGTTTTGATTAGAAGGGAGAAAAATAGTTATGTATTTGAAAAACTCTCCCTTGAGTGATTTCTTTGAGAAAAAAAAAATCATCCATATCAAAGCAGACGCTTTTTAGATTGCAGGTCCAAATATTCTGGAAAGTTCAGGAGTCACTTGCTATTTAAATCTCTTGAAAGCCGCCTAGTTAATTACTTCAGTTAGAAGGTTTCATCTGAATTGTGCTCCACACCCAAGGTCGGGGAGGAAGAGTGATATATTTCACCAAAGAGCTTCCAAAAATGTTGATTTTTCTCCTCCTGCCAAGCGCCGCCGAGCAATCTTATATTTGTATACCACTTRTATTTGCGATGCAATTTCTCCTCAAATTGTATCATTGCAGATCGCAGTATTTCTGCAAGGCTGGGACAGAGGAAGGACATTGCAGGGTCCCCGAGAGGGGAAAGTGTCTGGCATAAGATCACACGGAGAGTTGGGAACAGGATCCACTCAGGACCCCAGGGGTTCTGACCTCCAGGTGTTCTTAACCTGGGACCCAGGAGCAGTTCGTGGATAGGCATCTGAGGGGCTGAGGAGCCCGTGAACTGTTGTGCATGTGTGTGGTGTGATTTGAGAGCAGTAGCTCTTAAAATGTGAACCTGGATCAGAACCTTCTGGGAGGCTGATCAAACAGATTGCTCATCCTGCGCTGCCCCCCAGGTGCTGGTTCAGTAGGTCCTGAGGTAGAGCCTGGGAATTCACATTTCTAGCAAGTTCTCAGGCAATACTGATGACCACACTTCTGAGAACCTCGAGGGTCTGGGCTTTGATGGGCATGTCGGGGTTGTCCATGACCCCAGGGCTCAAGCAGATCCTTGACTCTCTCAAGTCTCCACCTTGTAAGGCGCCGTCTGCCTCCTGCCTCCTCCCAGGGTCTGAACTGATGCCCAAAGCTCTGTCCACGCGCATCATCGGTGGCATCTGGTGGTTCTTCACGCTCATCATCATCTCCTCCTACACGGCCAACCTGGCTGCCTTTCTGACTGTGGAGCGCATGGAATCGCCTATCGACTCTGCCGATGACCTGGCCAAGCAAACCAAGATCGAGTATGGGGCCGTCAAGGACGGAGCCACCATGACCTTCTTCAAGGTGAGGGTCTCTCCTTCCCTCTGCAGCACAACGAGCGGGCCCCTGCCCTGGCCCTAGGCTCCCCCTCCTGAGTGGGAGGAAGGGGTCTCTGCCCTTCCCTCACTGCTGGAGCCGATGGGCTAGAGAACCCCAGGGCTCACACCCTCCCTGTTGAGGACAGCTGGTTTGGGGGAGCTATGGCAATGTGAGCCATGTAGTTTGGTTACAGCACAAATTCTAGAAGTCTCTGTACCTGTGACAAAGACTGTGAGTCATCTGAAGAGGACAGGTAGACAAGAGGGATGGGAGAAGGGGGAGGAGAGGAGTGGTCAGACACCCAGCCTCTGGGGCCAGTGGGCRCCCTGCACTTGGCTGAGGCCTCAGTGCCATCCACGTCTAAGGGGCTAGCCTGGGCTTGGGGGTGAGCGCCCTCCCACTGAGAGGGAACAGGGGCACATCCTAGGGGAAGGGAGGGGACTTAACACTTGAGCAGGTGTTTACAGACTCCTGGGATGCTGGGGACCCCTGCCCACGTGACTGCTCCAGAGGGTGTCTGGCCCTGACTTTGTTGCTCCTCCAGCTTTGGAAGGATGGCTCTCACTTCCCCAGTGTTTATCCACCTTCTACTGGTATAGCCAACCATCAAGGAGACCGGAAACTCCTCTACCTGGCCTCCGAGGACCAGTAGGGGTCAATGTGCTCCAGAAATTCAGATAGCAATAACGACGGCCACCCACACCGAGCACTCACAGTGCACCGGGCACGGTGCTTGGTGCTCAGCCTCATTTAACCTCCATGGCTGTCTGTGAGGTTGGCACTGTCATTATTTCCATTGTACCTGTGTGGGGACTGAGGCTCAGAGCCATTAAGTGACTCATCCAGAGACTCACAACTAGAGGAGCCAGATGCTGAGCCTGGTCTGCCTTCCCCCAAGGTCTGTGTTCTAAGCCGGTGGCTCAAGGACTTGAGGATGCATTCTAATCCCCCTCAGTACCAGGTCCCAGTCCTCAGGGCATATGACTCAGGAGGTCCGGGAGAGAGTCAGGGATGAGCAACTGTTTTAAAAAGGATTTTTGTGTGTAGTGCTGGGGATCAAACCCAGGGCCTCGTGCTTACTAGGCAGGTGCTCTACCTCWGAGCTGCATCCTCAGCCCTAAGAATTAGCACTTCTAAGAAGTTCCCAGGTGATGCTGGTGGAGCCCGTTTAAGACCACACTTTGAGAACTACTGCTCTAATTGTGGCTCAGAAACGATCAGAATCTTGTAACTCGGTGGCTGCAGGTTCATTCATTCATTTATGAACTGCTCTCAGTCCTCCTGGAAGCCTGGGGCATTTCCCTTTCCTCTGAACTCTGGATCCCCGCTTCTTTCTAGGCCAAGAGATAGATGGAGCCCCCAGAGGGGCCTGGGTGGAGAGTTTGGGTGGGAAGGCCTTCCACCCTCCAGCACTGGAGCCCCTAGCACTGACCCCCACCCAGTCTTCCATGCCCCTCCCGATGTTGGAAGGAGATCTTTAGGAAACAGAAGGAGAAGAAGACCCGCTTCCTTCATGCTGCTGCTGCCACCAGCAAGCTGCAGACCCACTGCCTAAGGGGTCACAGCTACATATGTAGAGTGAGAGGAAGCCAAGGCGCTATCTAACACGTTAGGGGACTGGGGCTCAGCGGTAGAGCACTTGCCTAGAACATGTGAGGCCCTGGGTTCAAACCTCGGCACCACATATAAATAAATAAAAGAAAGGTATTGTATCCAACTACAACTTTAAATTTTTTTTAAAGCCACATTAGGAGCTCTGTGGGGCTGTGTGTTCATGAGTGTGAAGTGTATGATGTTGCATACCTGTGTGCATGCAGCAGCAGGAATGTCAGCGTGCATTCGTGTCCTCAGTGTGCACACATGCGCCAATGTACAAGAGTGTGCTTCTGTGGGTGCATGTATCTGGGCCTGGGTATAAGTGTTTGCATCTATGTGTACTGGTGGGCACATGTGTGGTATATCTCTGTGATCTGGGCAAATGGACTTGTGCCTCTGAGTGTACACAAGTGCCTGCCAGAAAGTATGTGTGTGTGTGTGTGTGTGTGTGTGTGTGTGTGTGTGTGACAGCCTGTGTGTGCATGCACATGTATCTGTGTGTGTGTGTACCTGCTCGTTTGCTCACTGTCTGCCCCGGGCTGCGGCCCAGCCCTTTGACTGTGCCAGAGCCTCTCTCATGCATTAGGCATGAGCCTTCTCTAAGCAGGGCTCCCGATCAAAGGGAAGCAGCATAAATAAGCCCGATGCCGGCTCATTGCCGCTGATTGGATGCCCCTGCCTCCCTCCATGCTAAGATGCTCAGATTGGCTTCCCAGAGCCTGGTCCCAGCTCCCCACCGAGCCTCTGTCCTCAGCATCAAGCAGCGCCTCCTGCAGCCTACTCCGCCCTCACCCACCTTCCCTGCAAATGGCACAGTGAGGAGGGCAGAGGAGGTACGCTGATGCTGACACCCAGCTGGGGCTCTGGGGCTCGAGGGCCGTGCTCAGAGGGCCCATTGGCCAGAATCAGCAACGGCGCATCCCCTTGCAGAACCAGCTCCACTTTCATGCTCTCCTGGTGGCCAATTAATCCCTGGCCGTGTATGGCCACGCTGCCTCTCATGTTCATGTGAAGCTCCTCTTACACAGGCTTCCTGTCACTGGCAGCAGCAGCAGTGGGACTGTCATGGAGAAGGGAGGATCCTGAAGGTGGACGCATTAGCTAGGAGCAGCGCACTCCCAACCCTGAGGCCTCTGGACAAACCTACTTCCTCCCCCGCCCTCTGCCCTCCAGAGTTGGGCTTCCTGGTCTACCTCCCCTGCCCCTACCCCAGCTGGGTGGCAGTAGTGGAGGCTGCCATGAAATTCAAGGGTAGCWTTTAAAGGAGGCGGGATCCACGCAGAGCAAGTGCAGGCGGTAGTACTGAGAATCCGAACCACCCAGGTGGTGTCCTGTGGGTCGTCCAAAGTGTAGGGCAGGTGAAATTCATTTCCACCGTAGCCTGTGCCTGGTTAGTCTGCAAACCGTCTCCCCTGGCTGAGAGCAGAACACAAGGGAAAGAACCCATCCCTCTTCAAAGAGGACAACAGCAAAAAGCAGGCCATCCAGCTCACAGGGCCCCCAGGTCCCCGAGCCCCGTCCTGCAGCCTGGGAGCTGCATGGCTCGAGGCAGCCCTATCTCTGCCGAGATAGTTTCACTTGGAGAATTGTCAGGAAGCAGCAGACATCACAAACAGCGTCTCCTGTGTTGTCCTCCCTCGGTCTTAGAAGATAAAATTAATTAGGAGATGAAAAAGGAGGTCTTTGAAAGCACTGTTTGGCTGTAAAATATGTAGGCAAAATGTAAAGGAGGATGTGGGAGCAATCGTGCTCTCTGCAGGGCGGGCTGGGTGGCTTTGAAGGGAAAAGAGGTGGGGAGACAGCTTCTCAGCAGATCTAGCCCTCTCTGACTGGTGGGGCTGGGGAGCTGAGCAAGGTGGGAGGGAGCCTCTCCGGAAAGGGCCCTGGGCATGGTCAGGCCCTCCACTCTGCACAGCCTCTGTCCTAGCATCTGTCCTGGAAGACACTTGGAGAGGTTCCCCCATCCACCCCCTCCTCTAGCTACATAGCTGTCTCTTCCCTGAGCTGCAGGCATCTGAAGGATGCTCCCCTCTGCTCAGCCTCCAGTTTCTCCAGCCCCATCTGCTGGCCTTTCTTGGAGCTTTAGCTCTGCCTTCCAGGCCAGAAGGACCCACATGCAGTGATCAGGCAACCTTCCATGTGGTCAGCCTGGCCCTGTCAGGTAACATCAGTTTTAAAGTCAGACAGACCAGGATGTGGGTCTTGGGGAATAACTATGCCGTCTGACCTTGGACAAGTCACTTCGCTTCTATAAGCTCTCGCTTGCTCCCCTGTACCACAGGGATACCAATGCCCACCATGAGGCAATTTGCAATTGGATTCAGTTAGCTACTGGACACGGGTTAGCCAGGGCCAGGGATTCTCTTGTCCCGAAGTTCTCTCCTGAGGCAGTGACTTCACCAGAGCTGGAGAGGGGCCAGCGAGAGGGCATCTGGAGACTCTCTCTTCTTCCAGATCCCCTTGGACTGGACCTCCTGAGATGGGTGAACATTGGCCTCTCCTATTGCAGGGTGGTCACCTTCCTCTGCACAGGACTAAGCACTTCAGAAAGAGCCCCGAGGTCCTTAGAGTGGGAGAAGTCAGTAAAGGAACAGCAACAGGTGCAGGGTGAGGACCTCCCTCCCTGGACCTTAGTTCTCTCGTCTGTGAGCTAGGTATAACAGTCCTCCATCTCATCGAGTTATTCAGATGATTAAATGGGGTCATTCGTGTATTTAGCTTAGAACAGCACTTGGCACAAAGCAGACACGGTCAATGTCAACTGTCTCTGTTTATTGTTGCAAACTGGTGATGCCCAGGCCTGTTTGGCACAGTTAAGATTTGGGGGCCATGCATGACTTTCATATAGATTAGATATTTCTTTAGATTAATTGCCAGTATTTTAAAGTTTAGAGTCTTCTGTGTTTAAAATTAAAAAAAAAAAAATTTACCTTCTGAGCTTCTTGAATATACGAAAGATCTGGCACTGCTGAGCTGGCTGTCCTGCAGGGGGACAGTTTTCAGAGCTCAGAAGCAAGTCTGTCTCCAGAGTCTGCTCCAGTCTTCGTGAGCTATTTCCGGTGCCTGGCCTGCCCCCATCAGCATTTGAGTTTTCTGCCCCTAAGTCTTTCTTACATGGGTTTTAAATCCTGCAGCCACTCTGCACCATGAAGATCATATTGCCCCCTGCTTCCAAATAGGGAAACTGAGCCTTAGAGAGAATCAAGGAGCCTTAAAGAGAAGTAATGATGCCAACCGCACCAGGAGACACGGGGGCCAGGCTCTGGGTCAGTAAGCAGCGCAGGTGCCTTTTCTTGCTGCATGTTTACAATAATGCTGTGCAGTCAAAGCCCCTTTTACAGAGGTGAGAGGAGGCTCAGAGATGTGACATCACTTGCCTGTGGCCCCAGAAGGAGCTGGCATTTAAACCTAGGTTGATGTGACACCAGAGTCCATGCAGAGGAGCTGACCCCTCCCTCTGCACACTCCCCACACCACCCACACCTCTGGGCTCCCCTGCAGTGTCCAGCTGCAAGCCCAACTACAGGCCTTCGTGGCAAGCCTCAGGGACTTTGGAAACTGCTGCTGGGGCACAGGGTCAGTCTGTCTGTCTGTCCTCCTTGGGGATTTCAAGGTAGCGGGAAAAGGCAGGAAATTCAGAGAGGCTTCCTGGTCCCCATGGAAATCACCCAAGAGAAGTGATTCACTGCTGGAGGACATGGATCCGATAAGGCTAAAGCCTCCACATCCAGGAATCAGAAAGCTAATTAATCTGGGGAAAGGTCTCCTTTCCAGTGTGGAAAGCACCCAGGGTCTTGCATGGAATCACACTGCTGCTGTCTCTCTGCATATATTCCCTGGGATCCAGCTCCCTTCAAAATTGATTATATATATTTTTATGTATGTATATATAGGCCTATATATGTTCTCTTGTACAGAAATGTTAAATTCTCAAGATTAAGTATCTTGAGCTGGGGAAAATCAATTTACTTCTTTGAGGAGGCTGGAATTGAAAAGTCGTGAGCCTGAAACTTACTTTCTTGCCAATTTTTCTGATAAAAAAAGTATCTCCGCCCTGGCAGATGGCCCTGTATTGGCTGCTCTGAATGATTCCATTAATTGATTTGGGCGACTGGCCCTGAAGTAAACCTCATTAAGGTTCCCACCAAAGCCAGGACAGGTGAGATGACGCAGCACCTGCAGGTGTGTGGGACTCTCTTCTGTGGGGGTGTGATGGTAGCCCAGGCCAGGGACTGGAACTCGGGGCTCTGGTGCTCAGGCCTGTAGAACAGGGAGAGAGGCCTGAGATTTCAAGAGGGGCCCTGACTTGACCTTGCCCTGCCTTCAAGGTGCCAGAGAGGGCTTCTCAGGGTTGTGCCCCGGAATCCTAGAATTGCTCAAAGGCAGAATTGAAGGGGATGCAGAGACCATGAGCTGATGTCATTGAGAATGGGGACCCCAAGATATAGGCAAGGACAGTGGGAAGCCCACTCCAAGGAAGATTTCAGTCCATCTGCCAAAAGGTGGTAGAGGCAGTGAGTTTGGGGCACTGGAGTGGGAGGGTGGCACCCCGGAAGTCTGTGTCACAGCCACCTTCTACCTTGATGTCACCTCCTGTCCTAACGGGCCCACATTCTTTGGTGTCCTTTCCCATCTCCTGTATTCAGTTCCTTTACCCACTGGTGGCTTGATGTGTCTGTCCTCCAGCACCATCTGCCTCAGATTCCCTTCAGCCCCCAGATGAAATCCCTGCGTGGTGCTGCGTCACTGGGAAAAGCATATGTTTGGGTGCCAGGCAGACCCATGTGTAGGAGGAGTGGGATGATGAGGGTAGGGTGCTCGGAGAGGTTTGGAGAAAGGAGATGTTCTAATCCCATTCTGAGACAGAAGCAATGGGGTGGGCTCCGTGAATGGTTCCTTGGTTACTTTGGCCAAGACTTGAGAGGTATGGATGACTGGCTGCATGGGAGAGTGAGTGGGTGAGATGGGTACAAAGGAGAAAGGGTCGGATGTGTGGGTGACCCGGGGGAGAGGGTAATGCAGAGATAGCTGGACCTGGATAATTTGATTATGAGAATAATTAGAATTAGTGATTATCTGAAAAGCAACTATCTGGGGAACAGAAGTAGCTCATGGGAATATGTAGGTGACAGAGTGTATTAGGTATCTATTGCTGTGTAACAAATGACCCAAAACTCAGCATCTCCCTTCGTGGGTCAGGAATGCAGCCCAGCTCAGCTGAGCACCTGGCTGGGCCTTTCATAGGCTGCAATCCCAAGTGACCAGCGCTGCAGTCATTTCCAGATGTGGCTTCTAGGCTCATGCAGTTGGTGGCAGGACTCAGTTCCTCCCAGATTATAGGCCTAAGGGCTTCAGTTCTTCACTGACCATTGCCCAGAGGCCACCTTCTGTCCCTGGCCCCGGGGACCTCTCCATAAGGCAACTCACAACCTGACAGTGTTTCCATCAGGGAAGGCAGAGTACAAGCCAGAGGAAGTCACAGTCTCCGGCAGCTTATCTTAGAGGTGACATTCCAACGCTTTAGGGAGGAGGTAAAAGCCAGTCAGGAAGTCCAGCTTGCATCCAAGAGGAGTCTGACTACCAGGAAATGGGATCCCTAGGAGCCACTTAGAAGCTTCCTACCACAGCAAACCTGGGGAGGAACCTGCAGAGAGAGGAGCAGAGGGCGCCCAGGAAGCTGGCAGCGGGAGACTCTGCACATCTGAAATTACCTAGGAAATAGGAAACATCTGGGTGCCAGAAGATCTGGAAACAAGGAACACCTTGGAGGAAAGAGGAGCTGGCGGGGACACTTAGGGAGGAGCTGAGGCGGAAGAGTAGCCAGGAAGGGGGGCGGCTTGGAACACAAAACCCCGGGAGGCAGGAGGGCAGACGGGGAGAGTGACTGGCACAGCCAGAGGCAGGAAGAGCAGCCAAGAGCCAAGAGGGACCAGAGCAGCCCGGGGAGGACGAGGACCCAGGGCATCTGAGTCCTCCTTGCCTTTGACTTTGGGGCAGGTAAATTTGTAGGCAGGGCAGTGGCTGCTTGTCTGTAAAGGTGCCCCATCCCTGCGCCCAGAGCAGGTCTTGCTGGCGCTCAGCTGGCCCCGTCCCAGGTGTCTTGCCACAGCCCTGCCCACTGCTCCAGGTGCCTGCCCCCCCCCACACTGCCTTCTCCCCACCGAGTGCTGGGGTCTCCGGGATCCGTTCCTGAGGGGCCATCCCTTGCCAGTAGGAAGATAGTTCACTTCCCTCCCATCTCCTCACCCCCTCCTGGAGGAGCCAGCTTCTTCCCCATCCACCACCCAGCCCCCAGTCCCGTGCCAGCCTGTGTGAGTGCCCGTGCTGTCACGCACACCAGGGCTGGGCCGGGTGCCAGTCAGACAGGCTGACATCACAGAAAGCCACAGCAGACTTGGAAACAGCCACTAGCACAGGGGCTGCAGAGCCGCCTGCTCCCCTGGGACCCGCTGGGGAGAGCTGGTCCCTGCTGGGAGCAGGCATCTGGCAGGAACTGAGTTCCCCAGAAACTTCATGAAACCCAAGCACCTTGTCTGCACAGCCTCCCAGCCAGCAAGAGCCACTCTGCCCCGGTCCACCCTCTCAGCCCCGGCAACCTCTCTGAGTCTCCCAGGGTAGGTGCCGCAGCCCTCCCACCACACAGGAGCTCAGGGGTGCTGGCCCTGCCCCTGCGACAGCATCCAGCCCGGGGCCTGCAGACCACCTGCTCTGATGGCCCCCCTTCCCCCTCTGTGATCCCTACCTGCCTCGCTCACTGGACTGAAGGAGGGGCTGGAACCCACCCTTCGGCAAAGCCTTCCCCTGGACAGTGCCTCCCACCACCCACCCTCACGGGGTCCCGGGGGGCAGTGCTGCTCAGTGGTGAGGAGCATGGACTCGGGCTCCAGAGGGACTGGATTCGAGGCCTGGCTCTGCCATCTGGGCACCTTCAGGCAAGTTCCTAGGCCACACCTCCACTCCCCAACTGTACATGGAGCTAATGGTAGGCCCTGCCTCCCGTGATCTCGGGGAGGACTCGATGACTTCATGTAGGTAAGGCGCTCAGAACTAGGTATGCATGTACTGATAGCTTAACTGATGTCAGAGGAAAAAACAATTTTCAAAAAAGTCATTCTGAAGACCACTTGTGCCTTGGCAGAGAACCAGGATTTTCAGGAAGCGGGTCTGAGCCCGAACCTCTGCTTCCTCACTCCTCAGCCACATGTCTTGCACCTCCGCAGACCTCAGTTTCCACATCTGAGCAACGGGCGGCGCTCCCTTACCCTGAAGAACACATGCGAGAGTTCAGTGACCCTGCTGAGCAGGGAAGCAGTCTTTGTCCCTGGGGGGCTCAGTAACTATGTGTGTGCCCCTGTTTCCCTCGCGGCCCAGAAATCCAAGATCTCCACCTTCGAGAAGATGTGGGCTTTCATGAGCAGCAAGCCCTCGGCTCTGGTGAAGAACAACGAGGAGGGCATCCAGCGGACGCTGACGGCGGACTACGCGCTGCTGATGGAGTCCACCACCATCGAATACGTCACCCAGAGGAACTGCAACCTCACCCAGATCGGGGGCCTCATCGACTCCAAGGGCTACGGCATCGGCACACCCATGGGTGAGCCAGGGGTGCGGCAGGGAGGGCCTCAGCAGAGTAGACAGAGGAGGGCGGCACACACCCCCCACATCCACTCATGCACACGGTCCCCAGCTCGTTCCATCAAACCTAGAGGGGTGGCGTTTCCCCAGCCCAGGAGCAGGACARAGTCACATGCTGCTGAGGTCGGCCCTGGCTGAGCAGGAAATGGGGGGGCCAGTTCCCAGAGGCCACACCTACCTCCCCTCCTCCCTCCCCTGCTGATGCAGCCCAGCAACAGGGGGCCCTCCAGGGACCCATAGGGACAGATATTCAAGGGGGTTGCCAGAGGTGGTCACATGCCCTGCCAAACAGATGCCACCAACAGCCGGGGGTCCGCTGTCCTCCCCAGGCTCCCCGTACAGGGACAAGATCACCATCGCCATCCTGCAGCTGCAGGAGGAAGACAAGCTGCACATCATGAAGGAGAAGTGGTGGCGGGGCAGCGGGTGCCCCGAGGAGGAGAACAAGGAGGCCAGCGCCCTGGGCATCCAGAAGATCGGCGGCATCTTCATCGTCCTGGCCGCTGGGCTGGTCCTGTCTGTGCTGGTGGCCGTGGGCGAGTTCGTGTACAAGCTCCGCAAGACAGCAGAGCGAGAACAGGTGACCCGGTGGGGACCTGCAGGGGGGTGGGGGGGTCGGGGGCAGGAGGGAGGAGGCCCTGGTGCGTCCAGTCCTCCAAGACGCCCTGCTGGCTCTACTGTCCAGACCCTGCTGCTCCACCCCGGACCAAGCCTCCGCACCTGTGGCCTGGTCCCTGTGGCAGCCTCCAGTCTGGCCGTCCAGCCTCCACACTTGCTTGCTCCCTCCACAAGTCAAACGGCAGCCAGTGCCCGGCGTGAAACTTAATTTAAACCTCATCAGTCCCCCGGGTAAAGCCTGCAGGGCGGTGGTGGAGGCTGGCATAGCGGTTCATTATATTGTTCTCTCTACTTCTGTATAGATTCGGAAATTTCCATAATCAGAAGTTTAAAAAAAAAATAAAGTTAAGAGGCCTAGACCTAGCGTGCAGACGGTGGAACAAGGCTCTGCCTGTCTGATTAATTCAAGCATGGTTGGGCAGTGGTTCTGGGTCCCCGCAGCAAATGAGAACCACAGGGAGAGGGTTTTTAAGTGCTAATGCCCTGGCCTCGCTCCCAGAGACTCCTTTCTAATTGGCCTGCGGTGGAGCCTGGCACCGGTGGTTTTCAGAAAGCCTGCAGGGTGATTTAAACACGCACCGAGTTGAGGGCTCTGGTCGGGGAATCGCCTCTCACCAGAGAGATTCAAAGGAGCCTAGGTCCGGTGTGGCAGGGACTGCAGTTGGATCACAACGGAAGGGTTGTGACAACAGACAGCTTCTACGTCCATCAAAAATGAAACAGTCGTTTATAACCAGCAAGCCTTGGTCAGCAAGGAGGAAGGGAAGACAATCCGTCCTCCTGGTCAGCGTGGGCAGGGGAGAGAGAGACACCTCCAGCCGCTGAGAGAGGGCTGAACAAGGCAGCCCCAGGGCACCCAATCTTTAAACCGGTCATAGATTTTGGCCAATTACTATTTTGAGAAATACACCAGGGGAATGGGTCAGGGGTACGTGTAGTTTTACTTAAGAGGATGTTTGTTGAAGTGTTAATTATAACATAAAAATTGGTAAATTATCTAAATGTCCAACAATTGGGAATGGCTTAAAAAAATTATGATACAAAAAAAAAATCTTTAGGAATTTAGATTAAAATTGAGTAGAGCTCCAGATTCTACCCAAAATCCTATGGGACTCAGTCCTGGCCCATCTCTAGGACCTCTTTCTTCCCATCTTCCTCTCCCTTACTTTGTTCCATACACACTGGTCTCCTTTTTAGTCCACAACACACCAAACATGCGTCTGCCTTAGGGCCTTTGCACATCCTATTCCACCCACCTGGAATGTTCTTCCTCCAGTGCATCTTAATATTCTTGGCACCAGCTGGTCATTCAGCTTATCTCCTCAAGTAACCTCTCCTACCTGTCCCCATTCCCAGCTCCTCTCTCTCCCATTTCAGGGTTTTGTTATCTTAAAAATAGTTATCACTATCTGAAATTGCTAGTTTAAGTGGTTGGKTTTTTTTTTTTTTATCTTTTTCCATCCCATCATTAGACCACAAGGTCCCTGAACACTGGGATCTTATCAGTCTTCTTCACTGCTAGATGCCTAACCCCTAGAACAGTGCACAGTAGAGTCTCAGTAAATATTTGCACATGGAAGAAAACAGAGGGATGACCTTTTGCACTTCATAGGTAGGGAAGGGTAGGCTGGGGAGGTCACAGCTGGTAGGAGGCAGAGCCTGAGTTCAGAGGTGGGTCTCCACCCCTGCATCCCATGACTTTTAGGCAGGTGGTCCTGGTGCCCTGGCCTTGCTGGTCAGGTGAGGCCTCCGCAGCCCCCATGGCCTTTCATATAAGCCCTGGGTTGACCACTGGGGGTTCATCTCATGGAAGCCACCACCATGCCATCCGCGTGGCAAGGCCACACTTTTGCTGTCCCTCTTTGGCTGCCTACAGGGACCAGGGCCAAAAACTGCCACCCAACCACCCTGCAAGGAGCTCCCTCCCAGTTGCCCACTGTGACAAACACGTGCTGGGCTTTCCTGCGAGGGAGGACAGCGATTCTTCCCTGGTTGGAAGTCCTGCCAGGAGAAGGGCTGCCCACGCCTCCACTGAGTGTCTTTGGAGCCCTGAGTCTGGGCCAGGCCTGGCGCTGGGGGTTGGGCTCAAGGGAATGAACGTGGCTGATTCCTGCCCTTAGGGACCAGGACAGAGGACCAGACAGATAAACCAGAGCTCCTGGAACTCTAACATGCACGCCAGTCATCCGTTTGCTCATCTGTGAGCTGCACATGACACTACCTGCCCCACATACCTTAGTCTCCAAACAAGAGGCAGGGTTTTGTAGACCACTGTACAAACTAACCCTGAAGCCGGAGGCGGAGGAATGGGTGGGAGCAGGTGTGAGACGATAGGGAGGCTCTGGCACAGGCTCTGGGAGGAGGGAAGAGGCGGCCAGAGTTGCCAAACCAGGCTAACTCCAGGGCCCTGCTTCGTCCCCAGCGTTCCTTCTGCAGCACCGTGGCCGATGAGATCCGTTTCTCCCTCACCTGCCAGCGTCGGGTCAAGCACAAGCCACAGCCTCCCATGATGGTCAAGACTGACGCCGTCATCAACATGCACACATTCAATGACCGCCGGCTTCCGGGCAAGGACAGCATGACCTGCAGCACATCCTTAGCCCCTGTGTTCCCCTAGGCTCAGGTGGGGTGGGGACCACAGGCCTGACGCCAGGTAAAAGAAACTGGAAACTGGAAAGGATATCCCCATCCCCCACGCTGAGCTTGGGGACCAGAGCTACTGCCTGCATGTGGGGCCAGGAACTCTCGGCCCCGACCCACCAGGAAACCAGCAGGCCTCAGGCCCGCTGTGGGGGCTTCCTTCTCCTCCTGTCTCTTCTGTGGGTTTCTAAAGCTGCCAGCCAAGATAGCCAAGGCCAAAGGAAGCACATGCCTCTCTCAGGCCAAACTCACCTCCCCCACCCCCAACTTTCCTCCAGAGTCAGGCCATAGGAAATGGGAAATAGATCTTCTATGGCCACTCCTTCCCCAAGAGCCCAAGCCTTCTTGGTCTTGACCATGAGACCAGAGATGCAAAACTGGGCACCTTGAGGATCTTGGAGTGGGGTTGCCAATGGAAACCCAAGGATGGTCATCCCCTGCGGCTGGGTAAAAGGGAGACTTCAGCCCCTGAGGGCGGTTCACATGGCCCTGATCTTCTAGACTTGGCTTGACCCCTGGCAGCCCCTTGGCCAAGTTGAAGGCAGAATGAAAAAGAGGAGAGAAGAGAATGCACAGATAGAAGCCGCCATTTTGAATCCTGACGGATAATGTCCCGATGGCTCCCACTCCTCTAAAAGGGGTAATAGTCACCACGAATTCTCCATGTTCTGTCCAGAGGAGAGAGGACCCCATGTGTCTCTCACAAAGGATGCCCAAAGATCCATCTGATATTTGAAGCCCAGGAGAGGAACTGTGGATTCCATGAAAAATCCACAAGCCCTTGAGCCACGGACTTGCTTTGCTGGTCATCTAGCTGTTTTCTAAACCTCSTTGGCATTTGGGAACCTGGGATCTACCGTCTACTCATCACCCACTCCCCATGCCTAGCCAGTTGAACTTGGCCTTGCTTTCATCTTGAAAGAATGACCTCGATTGAAGTGAAAGTCAAATTATCCCTTCTTAAAAGAGGGGTCAGTGTCCTATTGAACCGGCTAACTTTGGGGTAGGTGGGAAAATCCTGAGGGGACCCAAATAACTCCTGCCCTGGAACAGAAGGTTTTGAGGAATGGGATAGACATAGGCCCYAAGGGCAGGGAGGGAGAAGCTGCCTCCTGGAGAATTAACCAAAGACCCAACACAGAGACACAGGCCTTCCTGGCCCCTGGTCTCTTCTCTGGAGCAGCTACGGCCTTGCTGGGCTTGGGGGAGAGAGCAACCTGTGAGGTGCCAGGGAGGGAGGCAGACCAGATGGTCTGGGGGTTCCACCTTGCTATCATGGATTCTCTAGAGTCTTAGAGAAGAATGAGATGGGAAGGGTCAGGTGCAAAGTGTCCTTAAAGAGTGCATTGTGGGGCCAGCAGGCCTCCCGTGGCCAAGGGTAGAGGATAGTTTCTGGGCAAGGTAGAGAGGGCCGGAAGTTCTGGACTGAGGACCAGGGGACAAGAGCCACTTCTCCCCCCCTCTGTCCTGGTGCTCCTGGGAATCCAGTGAGAGGAGCCACGTTTCTGCCTCCAGGGCCTTCTCAATGGGGGCGAAGCACCCTCCCCGGGCACATGAGATGGAGGCTGTCTCTCCTCCAGACTGAGCGGGACCCCCACCCCCATGGTTCCCGGAATCACAGCAGGACAGGCTACACTGGAGGAGGGACCCGAGGGCTAGACTGCAGTGGAGCCCAGGGCACAGATGATAGGAAAAGCCATGCTGTCGTGAGCTCTGCGGGGTCGCGAGAGTGTGCACGTGGATTTGTCTCTGTAAGTGTGAGCTTGGGGGTTGGGGGGGGGGGGAAACTGATCTGGACATATAATGTCCAGGGCACACAATAATAGGTGACCTTTTGGGATCTGGCATGTGTGTGTGTGTGTGTGTGTGTGTGTGTGTGTGCGCGCGCATGCGCGCATGTGTGTGTGCACATGAGTGAACTGAGGACTAGGAAGACATATCTGAACCAGCAGTAGAACCCCATTTATGTAAAAACAGGAGAAGCCATGTTGTAACGGGGTTCTGATGAGTACACAGAGGTACGCATACAGGCACAGTGTGTCGGCTTGTGTGTGTGTGTGTGCACGCACACATTCATACACTGAATGGCAGAGGATGGAGGGCAGGTGAGGCCTGCAGCACAGCCAAATACATGTAAAAGGAGAAGCCATGTCATCAAGGAGGCCACGTGTGAGCCAGTGTGCACACGGGTAGGCTTGTGTGCCCAGCAGAAAGCAGGGGGTGGGCAGAACCAGAGTGTCACGCAGCATGGGTCCACACATAGGGCATGCGAGGAGCATGTGGAACTGGAGTTTGTGACTGCGTGTGTGAGTGTGCTCGTGCCCAAGTGTTTCGGATGCACATGTGTGTTCCAGCTCACGGCAGGAGCAGAGACGGACAATCAACCAGGAGGGCGGGACATCAGGGTCTGTTTGCAGTCCTATCACCCAGGGATTGTGTGTCACAGATATGGGAGATGGCATGGGTGTGTGCACGGGTGACGTCCCCGTGGGGAATCCCTGCAGGGGCTCATGGCTGGTGACTCCTCTGCTGTAGGCAGAGTGCCCTGTTAGAAGGGAAAACAGCTTTGTCTTTGTGATTCCTGATACCAGGATTCTAATGAGCGCAGGTACCGATTCCCTCCCACCTTCCACAGTCATGGACCACTGTCTCACTTTGTCAGATATGACTTCATAGCACATGCCATGTCCACGCTCATGGCTCACACGTGTGCTTCCRTGTAGGACGCTGTACATGCGTGTCGTGTTCTTCTGAGGCTACGCACCTGTGGAGATTGTGATAGACAAAAGGGAAGTGACATGAGGTTGAAAGTTTTTCATAAAAGGAATGAAGAATGGTTGATAAACAGGCACAATTCAACGAGGGCAGTCCCCAAAAGGTACTGAAATGGTTTATAGACTCTTCCGTGGAGGTGGGATGGCGCACTTCCTGGTCTGTCCCCTCCTCGCCTGTGTCCACAGGTGTGGCTAGTGTTCAGCCTCTGGCTGATGTTCCAGAGACCAGCCCCACGGGCCAGGTGCACTGAGACGGCACTGCCTGGGGCCAAGCTGTCCCTCCCAGGGTGCTGAAGGTGGTGCTCCCTCTGTGAGGCGGGAGGGGAGGAGGTGCTGAGGGAGGTGCTCTGGGCGAGATGGATCCAGGGTTCTTACGGTTGGGGCCTGTGCTGTCCCCCGGGGGTGCAGCTGAGCCGGGGCAGAGCCACGCCTGTGTGTGTGTCGGGGCACACGTGGAGGGACAGGAGGCATGAAAGCTGGTGCAGATGGAGCAGAAGGTGGACGGTGCCTGAGCAGGTGCTTAAACATCCCCATCTGGTCCCACATGCCAGCGCTGAGCAGAAGAAGGCCCTCTCCACAATACCTGCATCTATCCACGCACTCATGCTGGCCAAACCCAGGAGAGGCCACCCCACCCAACAGTGAGCCCTCCTCTGCCTCTCCCTCCACCTGCTGTGGGCAGACGAGAAACCCTGAGAGCTCTGTTGGCACTGGTGTGGCCCCACTCTGCAAGTGTCTTACAAGAGAGAAAGTGTCCCACTGGCCAGTCGGCTGGACTGTGCATCCCTGAGGATGGAGGACCACCCCTCCTCAGTCCAGATGCTGCCTCCGCTGGAAGAGCTCAGCTGGGCTCTGCCCCAACAGCCTCACACCAGAAGATGGAAACCCTGGCCCAGGATGTGGGAGGGGTCCAAACCGCTTACCTCCTGGAAAGCAGAAGTCAGACCCGGGCACAGATTCTCCAAGATGAGTCAGAAGCCCCTCCCTGCCTGCTTTTCCAAGAGGGGGTCCCGGGAGGGAGCAGCTTCAGGCTTCCTCACTCAGCATGAAGTTGGGCGCCTCCCTGAGTCACGCCGCCGTGTGCACGAACATCAGAAAACAGGTTCAACTCAGTGGCCCACATCTGGAGTGGCCTGCATGGATACCCATCTGGAAAGGCCTCATGATGTGGACAGACAGTTGTATGAGTTTAATAACATCTGGGGCCAGCCAGTCCCATGGACAGATGATAAAAAAAAGAAAAAGAAAACACTCATGGGCCCAGCTCTGTGAAGGGGTCTGTGGATTAGACACATCTGGAAGTTCCAGGTTGGATGGACACATCTGGAATGGGCCCAGACTCTTCGACACCGTGGAAGGGCCCTGCCCTCTGTCCCCAGGCTGGTTGGACTCAGGACCTCATTTCAGTCCTGATTTGCCCTGATGTTAAAATGTTCAGAGCTGAGGTGGTACACGAAGTCACCAAACCGTTTTAGGTAGAAGGTTAATGTTCTATACAGTATATATATGAATGTAAATATATATACATATAACTGTATGTATATATATATATATATATATGCACAGTGTATATACGCCCATAGCCCCTGTGTATACCAGCCTTCCCCGCACGTCTACAGAGTGTACAGGACCCAGCCGGTGTAGGTGGGGACCAGGTGAGAGATGGGGGCCACTGCAGCAAGGTCTGGGACAGAGGTTTCAGAAAGCCCTGAGAGGTGGGACAGGCCCTTCATCCATCAGAGATTGAAAAAGAGGGTAGAACCGTGCAGGGCTGGCAGGTGGGCCTCGTGTGGGGGCAGGAAGCAGCCACGGGACCTTGTCTGCATCCAGGAGTCCGAGGCAGGATGGCTGGGCGTGTCTGGGACACCTGGCCAGAAGGGAGGGGCACACCCCAGGGCTGCGGTCCTGCCCACCTGCAGTCCCTGGGCAGACGTGAAGCTCCACCTGTAGACACCCAGATGGGGGCTATTCTGGGCAGCAAAGGCCTCAGAGTGGTGCCACCACACAAGGACACCCCCAGCTTTGTAAAGAGAGGGGCCTGAGGACATTGCCAGCATGCCACTACAATGTCCTAAGGCCCTGGGGGTCACCACTCCTGCTCTCCTGGCCCCTGCCTGTAGAACGGAGTACCTCACATCACCCCACAGTTTGTCTCTGAGGCCTCCAGGTAGGAGCAAGCAGCCAGGGGCTCGGAAAAATGCCAGCTGAGAACGTGGTGCCCCTGCAACCCAGACKCGCTCTCCAGGGGCCAGATGTCAGGGAACGATGGAGGAAACACACAGGTGAAAGGTGGGAGGCCAGAGGCAGCTCCTGTCCCAGCACGGCCCAGTGCCACCTGTCTGCCCTGTCCTCTGTGTCTTCCCCAGAGGACAATTGGCAGAGAGCCCCAGCGAGCCCCTGCCCTGCTGGATCCATCTGTGCTCTGCACTTGTAGTTCTTTAGCCCCTCWCGGGTCCCAGCACCTCTGGCCCACGCAGGGGAGGACAGAGCTGGAGTAGGCTTTGCTTCTGTGACATCTGCAACCTGCCTTCTGCTTCGGCCCCAGGCATCAGTCTGCACTTAGCTCTGGGGCCCTGGCCAAGTACATCTAAATCCAGCCCCCAAGGAGGATCCTGTCCTGGCCCCACTGGGACCAGAGGCTCCAGAGCCTTCATGCCACTGTGCTCCGAAACCCCAGCCACCCCTGCCTGGGCTGAATTCCTGGCTGGGCTTCTGTGATGGGGACCTCAGTTTCCAGCCCCTGGGCTGAGCCCCCTGGACAGCACCATGGGCCTCTGAGAGCCCTGGCCTGTCCCACCACCCAGACCAGAGTGCCTGGACACCCCTGCTCCCATTCAACAAGGTTCCCACACACTGGTCTCTGGGCCATTCAGGGGATGCCCTTTGTGGACATGCAGAATTTCTATGAATATAGTTTTTTGTAAACATTTTGTAACAATTTGGGTTTCATAGTAACTGTGTTACTTGCCAATCATTCTAGGCTGATGTAAATAAATTTCCAAACAAATCCGATTATTTTCCTTTTTAAGACACTGTGATATATCAAAGTGCACAGTTTGCTGTATGAAGTAATATGGTTTTAAATTTTAAATAAAGAAATGTTTCTAGAAAACAGGGACCCCTTGAGATGTGTTTTCTGTTTCTCTTCCCTACTTAGAACTAGGAGGTACTGGGCAGTTTGCTTTGGCTCTGTACCCCCTGGGATGACAATGACATGGGCAGAAGGTTCTGGTGCTGATGAGGTGGGCGTCTCTAGCCTCGGCTTCCT